TGGCCCCATTCCCTCCTAGGTAAGCACATGGCCCCATTCCCTCCTAGATAAGCACTCTACCTCTGAGTTACACCCCAGATCCCTATTTAACATGAATATTAGTTGAGCATTTTTATGTTCTAAGAACTCTTTGAAGATATTCTGGATTCAGGTATTAACAAGAGTTTCTCTACTGAAGATTATATGTTGATGGGAGGACAGGTGGCAAGTATGTGTTGTGTATCCATAAAATGAAGTGCAGAGAGCTATTGAGGGATGAGGATGGCTTTAAATATGTTGATAGGAGTAGCTTTTCTGAAAAGATGACACTTGGGATAGAATAGCTAAGGAAAAACATTTCCAGGTGAGAAGACAGCAAAGGTGAAGCCCCTGAGTGGAGGATGAACTTGATGTGCTAAAATACAAAATGAACCAATTAGAGCAAAGTGAATAGGGGATGGAGTTGGGTTAAAGAAAGAGACAAGAAGATAAGCCAAAGCTGCTTCATATAGGGATGCTTGGGAGTGGGGAGAGGATTGGACCTATTGCCTTGGAAGGCAATACGTCAGTATACTGCTCTGAGCATTTGAAAATCCAAAGGACAATGTCAAATTGTCAACTGAATGTAAGAGTCTGAGGTAAGGATAAAGGAGAACATTGGGGATGTAGATGAAGAACCACTAGCATTTTTGATATTTAAAGCCAAGGGACCCTCTCAGGTCACCTAGCAGAAAGTAAAGCCAAAGCAACAGGTAGAGTATGACAGTAGGCCACAGTGGAGCATTCTATTCTTCGATGTCACTCAAAGAAGGGAGAAGAAAATAATATAATAAAGAGAGATAAAACATATATATATATATATATATATATATGTCTCTAGATACATATCTGTATGGTATGTATGTATATATGTGTGTGTGTTATTACTATTCTATAAAATTCTGCATAAAGTTACTCTAGTGGAAAACTTATTCAACTAAGTCTTTTTTTAAGATTTATGAATTTTATGTATACAAGTCTGCATGTATACCTGCATGCCAGAAGAGGGTGTCAGATCACACTATAGATGGTTATGAGCCACCATATGGTTGCTGGGGATTGAACTCGGGACCTCTGGAAGAGCAGACATTGCTCTTATCCGCTAAGCCATTGCCCCAGCCCATCAGCTGGATTGGTGAGCATTTGAGTCATGTCTAGCTTTTGCTATAGACTCCATACATGATAATTTTTTGTCTCCCTAAACAGAGCCCATAGATCCTTTATTGTGTGGTCTATGGCTATAATCATTAACATCCGTTGCTACACAGCAGGATAGACTTCCTCAGAATCTATTTAGACTTTCTGATGCTTTGTGCACAATAAGTATATTTATATTGCTTTTATAAAATGGCACATCGTCTTCTCACAGGCTCTTGAGGAGCCTAGCCCTAATGCATCCAACCACAGCAGAGTAACTGAGGAAACAATAATCTCATAGCCAAGCAAAACAGGTCTCTAACCATGTCCCATAAATCACAGCAGACAAAAATAAACAGGAGAAGCCACAGATGGCCTCTTAGTATTCTCTTTACAACTTCCCATGAATCTGTAATTCTGTACAAATAAAGAGGTTTTCTTCACCCAGCCTTAGAACAGTACAGACTCTTTCCAGTTGCCCTGGCTGGTGTTTATCCTGATGTCCCCTACTCTGTTCTTTTCTTGTTCCTCCCTCACTTGTAACACCTCTTTATGTCAAGCACCCAAGGACACGTATGGAGACACATACACATGACAGTGGAGATTTAAGGATTCATACTTAGACCGTTTTCTTTGTTACACAAGGCTTGGGCTTCCCTCTGAGGAGTCCATTTCTTACTGATGTTCTGTGTTCACTAATAGCATCTAGCAAAGCTTCTGACCTGGGGCTGGAAATGCCGATGCTTATTACAGTTGTTAAACCTACAAGTAGACTGCAAGGGACTACATAAACAATTTTCTGATAAATACAGTGCATGAAGTTTCATGCCTGGGTATGATGACATCTGGACATGTTTTTAGCATAGTACTGGTACTTTATAGTGTTCAGTGCACAACTTTTTCTCCTCCTTTTCTTTAATTCCCTATTTTAGTTGGTAAAATTTTATTAATTCTCTCTGTGTGTCTCTGTCTCTTCTGTCTCTCTCTTTCTCCCTCTGTCACACACACACACACACACACACACACACACACACACACACACTGCATGGTAAGCACTGAATTAGCCCTGGGGACATTGTGTAAAACATAACAGCTGTGACCCTGACCTATGGAGTTTCTATTGCAGCAGTGTAGACAGGTGCCCTGAAAAGTCAAGGTTATTATTGTCCAAAGTCCTGGCATGTCAAGTTGAGTTTATTTCAACTCTAATACCTTTGTAATGGGTCAGTTTCTTTTCTGTTTCTGTAGGATATTAGAGAAGACCATAAATCCTGCAGTTTAGAAGAACTTGATCTTGGCCTCAGAGAATATAAGGCCTAAGCCCAGTTTCCTATCATCATAAACAAAAATAAGCAAGGCAGGCTGGAGAGACAGTTCAGTGGTTAAGATCCCTTACATAAGACCCAGGTTTGGTTTCTAGAACTCACACAGGAAAGTTCACAACTAGCTGTAATTCTAGTTACAGGGAAACTCTGGCCTCCATGGATACCTTTGCATATGTCATATACACAGACACTGACAACCACACATATGAATGAAAAGAGAAATCTTTTAAAAAAAATTGATAAAACATGGGGTCTTACACCAGAAGAGCAGAAAGAAAAATCAACCACTACGGCTGTCGGCATATATATTCTGGTGGCACATTTGATTGAACTGCCTATTAAAAAACACAATAGCAGAGCGGGGGTGGGGCTCAGAGGTGCGAACACCTGCCTGGGATATGTATGTCCCTAAGTTCAACTCTCAGCACTGGAGAGGAGGGGGGAGGGGGAGGAGAGGGGGAGGGGAAGGAGAGGGAGGAGGGAGGAAGGAGGAAGGAGGAGGGAGAGGGAGAGGGAGAGGGAGAGGGAGAGGGAGAGGGAGAGGGAGAGGGAGAGGGAGAGAGGGAGAGAGAGAGGCAATAAACAAAGACCACACAAAGCAAATTGATTGCTTTAAATAAAGTTAGTTATCAATATGGTCAAACAACTGCGTCAAACTAACTGCTTTTCTGAGTTCACAAGTCATTATGAAGGAGTACAAATGAACTGAATTAAGGTGATTCTTCGACTTTTCCATGCTTGCAAAATGAAAACTCCATGTGAGGTGCCTATCCCAGAGTCAGGTAGCAGAAGGGCATGAAGGGGATGGGGCGGTAAATCTGCCTGTGATTACCTTAGGGCATTTATAATAAACTCTTGGGAAATATGCTTATTCACTTTTGAGTTAAAATTGTATGAAGCTATAGAAAAGAACTACTTGTGTTAGAGAATACATTGTCTGACTACCAAGATAATTTTAGCTAAGCAGGGTAGCACATCCCTGTAAACCCAGCACTTAGGATGATGAAGCAAGAGGATTGCCATGAATTCAAGGACAGCCTGGATTACATAGTCAGTACCAGCCAGCCAGGAATAACAAAATGAAGCCTCTACTCCCCATGGGGTTATAGCCAATCAAAAGTGAGAAGAGACACTGCTTGGCTTCTGGCATCCTTTCTATTACTAGGAAAGGTTAAAACGAGGCATTAATGTTTTGTGCCAAGACCTTCAGTGTCTTGCCTCCCTAACAGCATGACAGCCATGTGAGGTGAGTGCTTTTATCTCTCTCTGCAGATGGCCTGATTCTGTGGGACTTTGGCCCCAAGCCCACATCCATCTCTGCGTGCTATGCTGCATCCAGGGACAACTATATTGCCCAAGTTACAGCAATCAAGGTTAAGTTTTTCCTTTGCTTTCATGATAATCCCCATCCCAATCTCAGCTTAGTCTATAGAATTCAACTATGCCATCACACTGATGGAACCAAATGAGCCTCACAGGATGGGAGTACAGAGACAGACAGACAGACAGACAGACAGACAGACAGACAGACAGACAGATCTACCAAGAGTAGATTGTGTTCTTACTGTCTTGATAATGTCCTTAGATGCATACAAGACTTAACATCAATAGATATAATTTATAATGTTCCTGCTTGTTTAGTCTTTCAGTGCCACAATCAAGATAT